TCATTCACATGGATCATTTGGAGCTGTTTTGTGTAGATGTATGGGGCAGAAAATTTTCTAGAATGGGTATCTCAAAAGTGTAGACTGAGGATCACCTGTGGTGTTTGTTTCAAAAGTAGTTTCCTGGACCTCTCCCCAACCTACTGAATCAAAATCCCTGTGAGACCCAGGACTGTACATTTTAAAGAGCTTTCCAAGTGGTTCCAGTGCCCACGGAGAACCAATGATCTTGACAAGAGGGAGAAACCTGGCTGACTCTTGCTAAGGTAAAGTATATCTAATTTCCAGTTAGGCAAGAAAGAAAACCTGCTCTTTCACCCACAGATGCCAACACTACATTGCAATTCAGGATTTTTGACATTTGACCAAGCAACAGGTTAAGTTTTTTCTCCATGGTAGACAGCACACTTGATCCAGAGCAGGGTCCTCAAACTATGGCCTATGGGCCAAATGCGGCTCACCAAGGACATTTATCCAGCCCGCTGGGTGTTTTTGCTGCCGCTGCCTGTCCTGCTTAGCAGCAGACTCGCCCTGGGGCCCACAGTGCGCATGTGTGGAATGTGCGCTGCACTCTCCAAAGGCCCTCCAACGGTCTGAGGGACAGTGAACTGGCCCCCTGTTTACAAAGTTTGAGGACCCCTGGTCCAGAGTATGTGAGTATGTTTAGGGAGACTTGCACTCATGGGGATCGGCCAATTATTCTTGGATGACAGCCAGTAGAGGCAGAAATCTATATATTAAAATATTATTAAATGATTCTCCAGAGAGAAAGAACTACAAAACCAACCCTCAAATAATTTATGTTGACAATTCAAAAGCATGGTCTCTATTGTATTGCCTTTTAAAAATTAACAGCAAGATTTATTTTCATAAGCCTCCTTTAAAATCTATTTTTTTTTCTTTTCATGAAGACATTTAATCAAGTTTGAGCTAAGTATCCAAAACAGCCTTGCTTACTGCAGGAATTGTATAAAGAATTTTTATATATTTTTAGTTCATGTTATTTCTGTTAATTCCCAGGAGATACCAAACAAAACTACAGGGATCTCTCCCAATCCAGCCATCTCTCTAGCCACCTCCCACATCCCAAGGTCAGAAACTAAGCTTTCTTAAATGTAAATGTAAAGCAAAATTAGATGAAAAAATTAGATGGGAATGACTCTATTCGAACATGAAATTCTGAAAGTAAGCTATCAACCTCCCTCTAATCACAAATAGAATAAAATTAAAAAAGATAACACTAGTCGTTGAAATTTGTGCTTACTTTTTGAAGACAAAAATAATTGATGGCTGTAGGATTCCTCTCTGATCTCCCCTTTACCTACAAAGTGAGCTTTTGAAACCATGTGGGGCTGAATTTTCCTACCAACGTCGAAGTATTATTAGGCACAATGCTATGGACCTGTCACGTGACTGGTATTTTCATGGATATTTCAATAATTTTAAAAATGGCTATCAGGCGTTTAACTCAGGCACTAACCAGCCTCTTGGTTTTCTTGGGACCATTGTCATTCAAAGGAAAGAGGCCTAACTCCTGGAGAAATCACCTATTTCAGAGTAGTGTTATTCTTTTCTGTAAATCACCTGAATTTCATGCTTTTCAGGGGAAACTCTTTTACCCTAAGAGTTAGTCAATCTACATTACTCTGCTAACCTTTTGTTATTTTGTATGTTGAATAACATACTATACTATTATTAACCTTTTATACTTTTATATTAACCTTTTATACTATAAAAGGTTACACTATAATAACCTTTTGTTATTTTGTATGTTGAATAACATAGCATCACTTCAAAGTTTAGAGTGTCTTGAAGCATGATTTACAGAATTAACAATTATTAAGAGGTTGGAAGAGACTTTGAGAAGTCAACCAACATCCTCCTCCTGTATACAGTGCCTGAACAACATTGCAAAGATGGGCGCCTGTTCGTATTTCAGTAACTCCCTAGAAGCTGTCAGCATTACTCTCAGTTTCTTTTTTTGTGTGGTGTTCAAGGTTTCTTTGAGAAATTACTTCATTTATCAATTGCCTAATAGGAGCAACTTGTAACTATGCAGGATTGATGAGAGTCTGTCTTAACTGATTATACTGACTGGCTTCCATGTCTTTCTTTGGCTCACCAGTCACTCTTGACTGCCAGTTCCGCTCTGCACATCTGGATCTGGTTGGTCTAGAATTGGAATATCAACTGAACATTTGTCCAGGGGACTATAATATTTAAGTACTTTTACCTTTTTGGGGGAGAAGGCTGTTGAGGAAAGGTGGAAAGAAAAATTGTCTATTGCTGACCCAAATGGTTCAAGACCATTCCTGAACACGTGTGGATTCTCTGTTAACCAGAACGATGGAGGTGATCTCCCCCTCTCAGTACTGGTTAGAATATACTAGGAGTTCTATGCCTCGTTCAGTGAGCACCACCCAGGAGCAATCTGGACAAACTGGCGTGTCCAGTGGAGAATGGTCAGGACACGTGAGGGGGTTGGGATCCTTTAGGTAGATAGAGTGTTTAACAGAACTAGGGTGTGTAGCTTGGAGAAGAACAAGAGTAATGAGAGATATTGTATTTAATAGACATTTTCAAGTGACTGAAGGACTATGCTGGAAGAAGAGGGTTTAGTTTTGCCCCCACGTGACCCCAGAATCAAAACTAGGACCCATAGGTGGAAGTTGCAGGGAGTCAGATTTCTCTTCAGCATAAGAGAGAATATTTTAAAACCCTTTAGAATTCTCTGGACACAGAATATTTTGATTTGAAAAGTGATAACCTCCCCGTCACCGAGAGTATTCAAGCACAAACAGGGTGGCCATCAAGAGCTGTGTTATACAGGAGATCCAGCAGGAGACATTTGATTAGTTGACCTCTAAGTTCCAAACCTTGAGGTTCTGCTTGAGAAAACCCAATCTTGTATTCTGACTTACGAAGTTTGCCCGAATTGCTTAAAGGAGGCAAGGCACGGTGGGGAAAAGGTTGCTTTGGGTCCTGTTCCTTGGTCTTGAATGCACTAAGATTGTGAAATTAGACAACGCCCTGGGTCTTCATCTATTTCACAGAGAAGGGATTCTGAACTAAATAACTTCCAAGGCCACACAGAGCATTAACACTGTGAGTCTAAGATGTCCGCCCAGCCTTGCCTTTCACTTGCAGTTTGTCTCCATAGTAACGTCTCTTCCGGCTCATCGAGGGGCTGAGAGGCTCAGCAGCCGTGACCTCTCCCGACGGACTCCTCTCCTCTGCGTGCCTCCCGGAGACACCGAGCAGCAGGTCTGAAGCATGAGCCAGCAGCTACTTCAGCGAAGCAGGGCTCTGGGGAGAAGCAGGGTCGGGACAGGCTGGGGGCACCAGCAGACATGGTCTATTCCACTGTTCGCCATAAAAGCTATTGTTCAGGTCAACTGGTTTGCCTGTAACTCAGGAGGTGAGCTTCGTAGTATACTTATTCATAGAGTATCGCCCGGCCCGTGTGAGGATAAAGTTGCTGATCTGTAGACTTTGGGACTCACCCCGCAGAACCTATGTAACCCCGGTCCCCCCAAAGGCCTTATCTCCCTCCGTCCCGGCACAGGCGGTGCGGCGCCATTTAGAGCGCCAGCTTTCATCTTCCTCCCCGCGCCGCAGGGTTTCCTATCCCGCCCCCTCCGAGCCGCCGCCGCTCTGTCACGTGACGGAAACTTGCACTGGGGACCATCTTGTTGTGCTGCTCTCTGGGGAGACCTATGCTGAAGGACAAACAGAAAACCAAATATAATGACAAGAAAAAAAAAAAAAGTTAAATTATTTTGAATAGTCAGTAAGAAAGCCGTGCAGCGAAAGCCACATCAAAGCCCCGCTGTTGGGGCATACCTCTCAGATTCCACCAGCCACAGGGCCTGCTCGGGGAGGGGCTGTGGAGGTGGAGGTGGGTTTGAAGAAAGATAGAAAAGGTCAATTCAAATTGCTTGAATAACAAGCTTGAGAAAGTGAGACAGAACATTTCTATCACAGAGACTGAGGAGCTCAGCTTCCAAGAGGCATAGGTGGCCTCTTATTGCCATCTTACTCTGTGAGAAGTTATTTTTGGAAAGTCTCTCCAGTGGCTATCAATAGAAAATATTGAGATTTTTTTCCCTCCCTGGGCTTTTATTTTTTTTAAAGCATATATTAAATCCTACAGTTCCACCTTAGAAAAGGGCAATTTTGTAGGCTTGGCCAATTGAAAGTGGGCAATGAGCAATCTGAGTGTGGTGGGGGTGGGGGACATTTGGGAACAGTTTCCCAAGGCAGTCTGTGATAGAGTTCAAATCAGTATGGCGCAGGTGTTTCGGATGGCGCTATGGGTTGGTTTGTGATCTCGCTGTGTTGGCAAGGGTGCTGTAAGCAGTGTGTTTGTGATGCCACATTGTCACAATGTTTGCTTTGACTCTGCTTTGCCCAGCAGTGTCAGTGACTCAACCCATTTTTCTGTGATATCACCAGTGCTCCAGTATTGATTGCTTCTAAGCCTAGGAAACAAATACTGAAGACTCAATTCCTGCGCTGGGAACTACTTTAATATTTCACTTGTGAAATATTTCACTTTATATTTCACTTTAATATTTCACTTTAATATTTCAAACCTTATTTGCTCCCCTAGCTCGAATTATTAATCTAGTAACATTTAGTGCTATGGGTCTGTGATTACGTGAGGTTATTTAAAGGAGATTCCATTGAAAGCGTGAGGGTTAAGAGAAACAACTAAGCAGTAGCTAAAGTCATAGGGAGAGAGGCAATTTCCTTTTTGGGGGGACATGGAAATTTGCAGCCAGTAATTTGTGGTTAACAGTTTAGGTTTTGGGGCTAGAAAACTGGGTCAAATCTTACTTTTACAAGTGGTATAACCTTGGGCAATTTTCTAGGTCCCAATTTTCTTATCCATATAATAAGGTTAGGCCAGGCAAGCTGTCTCACACCTGTAATCCGAGCACTTTGGGCAGCTGAGGCATGAGGACCTCTGGAGGCCAGGAGTTTGAACACGAGCAAGACCCCGCCTGAGCACGAGCAATACCCTGTCTCTACAAAAAATAGAAAAATTATTCAGGCATGGTGGTAGACACCTGTAATCCCAGCTACTCTGGATTGTGGGAGCCCAGGAGTTTGAGGTTGCAGTGAGATATGACACTACTGCACTCTAGCCTAGGTGACAGAGTAAGACCCTGTCTCAAAAACAAAACAAAACAAACAAACAAACAAACAAACAAAAAGACCCTCCAGGGATAATGTTAGCTATTACATGTATCAGTTAAGAGGCCTTTGGTTGTAACAGAAAATTTAACACACTAGCTTAAATGAAATGTAGCTGTGAAGTCCTAAAGTAGGCCTAGCTTCAGGTATGGTTTGATCCAGATGCTCACAATGTCATAAGGCCTCTAGTTTTCTTTCTTTATAATTCTCTTGCTATACCTTCCTTCTTGTATTAACTATGCCCTCAGGCTGGCTTGCATCAGGGCAGCAACACTGATTCTGGATCTTACATCCTCACATTGCACCATATAAAAGAGCATCTCTTTTGGTAGCTCTTGTGCAAGAGAGAAGAATCTCCTTTCTGAGAGGTCCTCAGCAAATGTCTCCTTATGTTTCTAGCCCTGTGTTAGCTCATGAACACAACTCTGAACAATCACTGGGCCAAAGAGATGGGATGTTAGACTCAAGGCTCACTCCTACATCTGAGGGTGGAGTCTAATAAACATCAACCACCCTGCAAAGGTTATAGGAAAAGCAGTTCCCCAAAGGCAAATATGCATGGTGTGTCAGAAGAAAAAAAAGGGAGAAAGTGATGCTATCAGGCAACCACCAACAGTGTCTATAGGGTGGTTGTAAAGGGCTTAGCAAAGTGCCCAAGCCTCGGGAGGATTAGACAAGTATGCCTAATGATTTATTATGCTGGTGTCATCCTCGAGTCACTGTTTCTGCCTAGAAGTGCCACCTCACCTTTCCTTCTTTCATCTGTAATGCCTGCCTCTCCTCTTTACCAGGTGTGGAGAACTGAATTCCAGCCTTGGCTCTGTGCCTCAGTTGCTGGGTGGTCTCACCCAAGTCACTTTCTTCCTGTCTGTCAAAAAAGAAGTTCAGATGAAATATAAGCTGAGCCACTTTCCCAGAAATAAAGCAGCCTTTTTTTCCCTTTGGCTCCCCAAGAAACCTTACATAAAGTCGCACATGATTTGAGGACTTTGTCTACCTGTTTTATGGCTTAATTTGAAGACAAAAGGCTTTGAAGTTAGGCAGATATGGGTTTTCTAGGGCTGTGACTGTAGGGGAACTTGAACTTTTTGAGCCTCAGCCTCTTTTATAGTACAAGTACAGGTGTGGCAAATAATATCTAATTTTCAATGTTGACTTAAATGAATGTGGTAGAGTTGGGATGAGGCACAAGTTAACATTTAGACAATGGCAGAACAAATAGAATGATGACTTGTATTTAGAAATGCACGTTGATGATTTCATCTGCTCTCATTTTAAATGTCTTATCATTTGTCTGATTACTAAATATTTCCTTCCTCAGGGATATTGAGATATTAGAAGTGAAATGGGGAAGATGCATGTGGATGCATTATAATGTGAAATCAGAGAGCACATGCTCCCCTCCCCTACCTGGCTGACACTCATAACATGCGGGGCTGTTAAGAAGAATAAATAGATATTCAACCAATATTCTGTTCATTCCTCCTTTTTCTTCTTTCTTCCCCTGCAACCTTGCATACACCTTTAGCTCACTGGTTCCACCTAGTGGCAATTTCAGGCATTGCATAAGCTTGATTAGCTTGATTAGTCAGTCTGTAAAAAGTGATCCCTGAAGCTGAGCAGAGTCCTGGAACTTGAGATCCTGACTTACCCCAACTCTGGAGCATCAGGAGTGAGGCTCATCCTAGGAGCTCAGAAGAAACCTGTCCTGGATAGTGAATGCTTGAATTCTCCTGCCACTGGGAAGCTTAATTGGCAAAGCTCGGTTCTAGAAGCTGGAATTTTGTAATAAATTACTAATTCTTACTTAACAAGCTCAGATAAGCTGATCAAGATGAGGGGAGCATAAGGTGGAGAGCGGGGTCACTGAGCCGGTAGCTGACAAACAGGCCGGCTCCTTACTCGTAGAGAGTAAGGGATCATTACTGGTCAGATCCTCAGAGACGACTACGCGTTCAAAGAAACGTCTCAGTGCTGCTCTACATTAACCCTTTGCACTTGGATGTCGAGTGTGACTTGACACGGTTAGCAAAAATTACAGAGATTAAAATTACTCTTTGAATGTATCAATAATTTTAAATATAAAAAAATCCAAATAAATAAGTTTGTATGAAAAGAAACTCCAGCTTTTTATTCTACTGCCGCCCTTTGTAAAATCTGGGGTATTTAAAAAATTAAATCCTGAGTAGAATAAAGGAATCAGGAAAAAAGCAAGCGAGTGCAAAGGGTTAATGTAAAAATTTGATAATGTATCAAACCTTGTAAAGTCTCCTAAGACTTTGAAACAGTACTGTTTATAGCATTCCTATCACTTTAGGAAGAGCAACAGATCCTTTCACAAGTCGAAGCACTTCGGTAACGGAAAGGCTAGGATGCAGAGTTGTTGTAGTTTAAAGACAGTCAGCACTTCCTTTGCTGTCTAGGTGGTAACTACAACAGCGGAAGGTGTGCGTGAGGGTTCATCCTAGCAGGCCCGGAATTAGTCAGAGCTGTTTTGCTAAACTGCCTGCCGGGCACTAACCTGGTTGCTGATGACCAGTGTTGCTGTGAGGAGTTTCGGGGCAGTTCGTCCTGGCCTGTGAGCGTTTGGTAGCAGTGAGATTGCTGATTTGCACCTGATGTTAGTGAGATCTCCGGAGGCCTCTGCTGTAGAGCTGGTTCCAAAGCAGGAACATGTCTTTGTGATCAGCAAAATAGAAAAAAAATACCTTCAGTTGAGGTTCCATTTGGGGCTTTGGGGTTCCAAGTTTTTCCATGCTTTTGTCACTGGAGAAAGTGTGTTCAGCCACAGCCTTTACGGAGGGAGAGCAGTGGGAGCCTGCACCTGGTCTCCCCAGGCCCTTCCTGTGAGCCGGCCTTTAGCTGTGACGTATATCCTTACATTAATGCTGTTGCAATATTGTACCTTTGTGTGAGAATTGCCATTTGGCGTCCTGAGACTCTTCCTTGCCAATTCAACCCTGTTTAACTGCCACTGTTAGTGACGGAGTAACATTTTTCTGTTGATGTACAAAGATCCTGAGATTCGGTATAGGTACCAATAATAATTAGCTTTGCAACCTTGAGTAAGTGATCTAATTTCTCTAGCCTAGGGTTTAGGCTGTGCAATCAAGAAAGCAATAGGATCTACTGTGTCATATCTAATGATTATTCTAAAACTCAAATGAGATATGTGTGAAAGATCAAGATTAACTTTAAAGCAACATATAATAATTTATTATCTTTAATATTATGAAAAGGCTGTTAGTAATAGTATTAGTCATAGTAGTAATACTTTGAAGTGATGTAATTAGCCAGGGTAAAGAAACCCCTGGAACTGGAGTGCAGGGTCAGGTAAAGTTGCCTGTTGTCAAAGAAAGTAATGAAAGTCTGCTGATAATTGGTGTACTTTGCTAAGCCTTCCAAGGAGACTACAGGTGTGCACCTGAGACTACAGGTGTGCACCACCACACCTGGCCAATTTTCCTTATTTTTTTTTTTTGTAGAGACAGGGTTTCACTATGTTGCCCAGGCTGGTCTTGAATGCCTGGACTTAAGTAAAGAATAATTTCTAACTGTGTTGCTGATCAGAATTGAAGAATCCACGTACAAATAAGAAAAATTAAATGTAGCTAACTTTTACTGATTAAAATATGCATTTTAGTGACAGGATATTAGGATACTAAGCATTTTTGTTTTTAGCTATCACTATTCCAGGTTGCAGATATTAGTTTTGTGTATCACATGTTAGAACTTGAAGGGGCCTTGAAAGACGCCTTATCCATTCTAGTCCTTGTCTGTAAAGATAATTTGAAGATGAGAAACTGCAATCCAGACGGGGCTGAGACTTTTCCAAGATCAGGTGCAAGTTTTTTAGCAGAGTTAAGTGTAAAACCCAGTTTTAACTCTCCAGCCTCGGTTCTTTCGGATATACGTGGCTATTCAGGCACCTTAGAAGTCCAAGGGTGAAGAACAGGTAAGACCCTTTTCAGTAAGAACTTACAGTCTAGTGGAGAAAACGGTAACTGGCACCTACACTAAAAGACAGAATGTAATGAGGGACACAGTGAACAGATTAGCAACACACATGCTCTGGGAAAACATTTGGAGAGACAGTTTACTGTTCCAAGGGGTTAAGGAAGGATTTCCAGGAAACCTTCTCATATTTAGAGCTACATTCATTTTTAGGCCTTTGAAATAACAGGGAAAGCTACCAGGAGTGTTACTGTTATGGTGACTCACTAATACTGACCTGGAAACATGACTATATTAAGTTTTTAACAATTTCAGTGCAATATGCACAGCATGGTCTCATTTAAAAACAATTGGTGTGTATGTGTGTGTGAACACACAGAAAGAAGCTTCTAAGGTTAAATAACAAAATGTTAACTGTGGTTTCTGAGGGGTTGAGGGGGATGGGGTAAGCTCAAAGCATGCTGGGAATGGAAAGGGAACTTCTTTTAGTTATTTATATAATTTGTATGCCATAAAATTATGAGTGGGTTTTACTTTATTGTGTATTTTTCAATTAAAAAAAGGTTATGAAAGTCCCCTTCATCCCTGCTGTATTCCATAGGGTTCAGATCAGGATCCTTTGTAATCCTGATGTAATGGCAGAGATTTGGGGAAAACAGTTCACTTTTAAAACATGTCTTTATTAGAGCCCTCCTCTCAAAGACTTTGGCATGACACATGGGGTCTTGTCACCTGACAAGGAGAGACACTGTTCTGTCTCTCCAATCCTGCACTTGGACCAGTGTCAGCACATAGACCCTTTCTGCCTTGGAATAACATTTCCTTCTCCTGTATTTGAAGTTACCCAGTGGGTTCTCTGGGTGAATTCAGACAGGACTGACTTTCAGGATGAATACAACTGAGGCTATTAGCCTCTGACCTCAGCATACAGGAATTATCATACCCATCACATGGATGAGGCAGCTTAGAGTAATTGAAGGGCTCACCTCAGTCATGTGGCAAATAAATGGCCAAGCAAAGTGGTCGGGAGCCAGTCTACCTAACCCCAAGTCCATGCCCCTCCTAGCACCATCTGTCACGTGTCTGATGTACAGTTGTCTTATGCTCTAAGATTGATATGGGTGCTGTAGTCACTTAGTAGCAAGCCCTCTAGCAAACAGGCACAGGCGGTAAGCAGAGAAGACTTCTTGAAGCCACCTCAGAACTGCCTCTGAGAAGGAATTGCCATGGCTACTGGGAGAAGCCTGGGTCCTCAGGGCCTATGTGAGGGCTGGAGACCTGAAATCCAGCTAGTTGTATTCACAGCCAATGGCCTCTATATTATTGATTTTCAAACTATATCCCAAAGAAGAGTTCAATGAATGTTTTTCCAAGATTCCATAAAAATTTGATTCAAATTCATTTTTACAAATATTTAGAACTATTTGAACTATTTAGAAAAACTGTAAAAAAAAACCTTAAAAGATTGTAGAATAAAACTTCTGTTGCCATCATTGTACACATATGTGAATCCTTTATGACAATTATAAGGAAAGTTACGGCTCTGCATCTGCGGTGTTTTGAACTTAGATCCGATCGTGTCTGCTGGTGTAAAACTGTGCAAACGATACATGTGTATGCCCCAGTTAAGCACCAAGCACGGATCAGACACCTCCTCGTCTCCACGTCTCACTACATATCTGTGCAAAAACAAGTTAAAGTGGAAGAAGATGGATAACGTGAAATCTTAACTTTTGATCATTTTAGCATTGATTTAAGTTCTGGGTGATTTTATCTGATTTATATTTACGATAATGAATAGAGGCAGCTGTTAAACATTGTCGGTGATTTGACTTTAAAATCAAAAATTAAGGGGAGGGGCAAGATGGCAGACGAGAAAAACCGCCAGCCAGAGTGTCTCTGCAAGAAAGACAG